CTTGCCTAAAGCCCTGGGTGATGATTTTGCAGGAACCTGAATATTCTGTGTCCACTTTCAAGTTTGCACTGCATCCCTAGACCTCTGCCAAGTTGTCATGTTCTTTCCTGTTAGTCTTAGTAAGTCACTGTGCTACTTTTTGACTCCCTGCTTTATACTGATGCCAACACACACATACACACACCTTGGACAATTGACTGTTTCTTTGCTTGGAGAAAAAGGGAAACAGTTTTTATAGGGTTTATGGAGATGGGAGTGATCAAGCCATTGTTTTGTTTTTTAAATTCTGGAAAGTCTGCAGGCATGTCCTAGAATTTATGTTGTCTTTGGTATGATCCTTCTTCTCTCTGAGGCATCTGCAGTTACCAGTCTGGAAGTGCTGATGTTCATCATCATCTCCTATACTAAGCCCCCATCATAAGGCAAGTCCAAAAATGCAGGGGACTGGATCAAACCATATTAAGAAATGATGAGCAGGTATTTTGTAATGCTAATGGCTCTCAATTCCTCATCAAGGCAAAATCATACAGTGCTGCCTCGCTTTACGATTGCGCCGTTTAACCGCATTACGATGAACTTTTTGCAATTGCTTTTGCGATCGCTTTACGAGGTTTCCTATGGGGGAATTTCGCTTTGCGATGATCGGTTCCCTGCTTCGGAAACTGATTAGTCACAAAAACGCTGATTTTTGGACAGCTGATCGGCGGTTTCAAAATGGCCGCCTGCTGTTTTTTGGGATGGATTCCTCGCTGCACAGGCAGCGAAAATGGCCGCCCTATAGAGGATCTTCGCTGGACGGTGAGTTTCCAGCCCACCGGAACGCATTAAACGGGTTTTAATACGTTTCTATGGGCTTTTTAATTTCGCTTTATGACGTTTTCGTTCTACAGCGATTTCGCTGGAACAAATTAACGTCGTAATGCGAGGCACCACTGTACTTTGCATTTCAAGAGGGATGACTTGCAATAGCTTACTTTTAGTAGGAAAATCCTTTTCTTCCCAGCTCCTGTGAAGGTTGCAGCTAGGTGTAGAGGCAACGGGGAAACTTTAGGGTGATGGTGGATGATGTGGTAAAGGTAAAGTTTCCCCTTGACATTTAGTCCAGTCGTGTCCAACTCTAGGGCACAGTGTTCATCCCCGTTTCCAAGCCAAAGGGCCAGCGTTTGTCTGAAGACACTTTCCGTGGTAACGTGGCCAGCATGACTAGGCACGGAACGCCGTTACCTTCCCACTGAGGTGGTACCTATTTATCTACTCGCATTTTAGATGCTTTCGGACTGCTAGGTTGGCAGGAGCTGGGACAAGCGACGGGAGCTCACTCCGCCGCGTGGATTTGATCTTACAATGGCTGGTCTTCTTGCAGCACAAAGGCTTCTGCGGTTTAACCCGCAGCGCCACCACGTCCCTTTTCCCTGTGTTCCTGACAACTGCTATTCAGAAATCTGAGGAAAGTTATTTTTTTTCGACTGCAGCTCCAAGAACTCCAAGCCATGCTGGGTGGAAGACACTGGGAAAGGGACAATACCCTTTTTGCACTCTTTCTGATACCACCTGGGTCATGGAATAGACTGGGGCAGTTTATAAATTGGACCAAGTGGTGGTCACTCTAAACGGTGGAGTGGCTTCTGACTCTCCACTCTACTCACAACCCACCTGTGTACTGGATGGATCTATGCTTCATCAGCAGGGCTGTTTCTGCATTGTTCAAAAGAAGGACATATTTTCTGAGCTGTGGACTGTCTATCTGCAAGTGGATTATGTGGATCTCCTGATCATATCTGTATAGCAGACTTAACACACAGTCCACGTCAGAGGTGGCCACACTGGCTGGGAATTCTGGAAATGGAAGTTCTAAAAAGTAACTTTCCTGAGCTCTCTCCAATACTGGTCTCAAACCTGCAGGTGTCATGGACCCTTCCCCAACATGGATCCTTTCTCCATGCTGGCATGAAGGAGGAGGTGTAACTTAGTTAGAGGAATCTGCTTAGCTTGTGATTTCCTTTGTTGAAGATGAACATCTCTAGGTGTTGTTCCTGCGGTTTTTGGTTGGCTTGTTTTGTTCCGGAGAAACGTAGCTTCTGGCTTCTCTTATTTGGGCTTGGCTTCCTTCACATTAGATTGAGCTGACTTATTCCGCCTTGCTTTGAGAGACAGAGCTAGAACCTTGGGATAGCTAATAGGGAATTGGATTTCAGGAAAGTAGTAGAGGAAGCTGTCTTATAGTGTGGCTCATTTGACAGGTGGATCAAGTTCCTTTGGAGATAGTATCTTTCCTCTTTGTTGTAAATGTTTAAGGACAAGCTGGAGCGTTGGTTAATTTGTCAGGGACACCTTGGTTATAGGCAGCATTTCAATAGCCTGCCTTGGGAAGAGGTTGGACTAGATGATCTTCAAGACCCCTTTAAGCTATGCTTCTAGAATGTGCTGATTGGGTTATGTGATGAGGCCTCACCTGCTGCTAATGTTGGGCTATGTGTTGAGTCTACCATTGTGACCCCAGCACATGGGTGCTCCAAATGCAAATAATTCCTCTTCCAAAACTCTCCTGCATGAGGCAAGTGCATGCTGATTAGTTGTGCAGGATAAAATATGTGCAGTGGGTAAAAATTACAACATCGCTTTTATGAGTGATAACAGCATTTGAATTCCATGAAATAAATCACTTCCTTTCCTCTCCCTTGGCTACTTGTAAAAACACATCAGCATTCAACCACACTTATTTTCTTGGCTGGCATCCAAAGATAAACAGTATTTTCTGTGGAATACTTGGGGGTTTTGTTTCTGTTTCTTTTTTTGCCACATCCATCCTTCCTACACTTCAGCTCCTGTTAGGAAATGATTTGTACGTTTGTTTTCTGACCAGCGTAATATGGTGTAGCATCAGGCACTTGGCTAGGAGTCACAATTTCTGAGAGAATCATGACTTTCCTTATCAGCTATGGGTATAAAAATTGTTGAATTTTTCCTGACTTTCCTTATCAGCTATGGGTATAAAAATGGTCGTATTAGTTTGGGTAAAGACTCTGGCTAACCCAGGATTCTGGTTTCTACTATGATCAGCTAAGAGATGCACAGTAGCATACAAAGAGGGGATGGAGGTAACATCTCCCCTCCCCAGGTTCCCCCCATCTCTTCTGAACATGACACTTTGGCATAGCTCTAATGGCTCATAGATCTGTTTCAGGCTGGATTTGCCATATGCAGGATGTGTACGTTCTGCCCTGCCAAGTTGGGACTGACTTATAATGACCCTAAATAAGGCTTCCAAGGTTAGTGAGATATTTAAGAAGTGATTTTACCAGTTCTACTCCCCCAGTGGCCAAGTGGGGCTTTGAACCCTGTTCTCCTTAGTCCATTGCTCTGTCCACTACACCAATGGTCCCCAACCATGGGCCTCCAGATGTTCTTGGACTTCAACTCCCAGAAATCCTGGCCAGCAGAGGTGGTGGTGAAGGCTTCTGGGAGTTGCAGTCCAAGAACATCTGGATGCCCAAGGTTGGGGACCACTGCACTACACCATGTTGGGAATCCTATGCAAGGATAGGGGTATATATACTGGTGTTTTTGGACTACAACTCCCAGGATTTCCCAAGTGCCATGCTGCTTGGGGAATTCTGGGAACTGTAGTCCAGAAAATGCAAATCTCCCCTCCTCTGTAGGAGAGAATAAACTGCAGGCCAATTGTGGCTTCATCTCCAGAGGCCCACTCTTCAATATTTTGTGCTAAAACATGTTCAAAGGTGCTCTAGTCTAGCAGACGTGGTTCTTCTTTAAAACTATATGCCTGGGTGCCATGAGCCTTATTTGTTCTCTTCTCTCTTTTTTTAAGAAGACATTTTAAAATTGATTTTTTTTTAAAAAAGGAAGAAACGTGGAAATGGCTTTTGGCTGCTTCTGGCCATTTAGAAGTGTTGGTGGTTGTGTATAGTGTGGTGGATCTGGGGGACCCAAACATGAACCCTCCAAGTCTATCTGCCCCTGATTCTAATATTTTTATTTAAAAAGGCTGGTGGTGGGGATGGAAAATGAATATGCTGCATCCTCGTTTCTCTATGAAAATATCATTTTTGAACCTCTCAAAGCTGATTAAGAGGTAAAGTCCATTTTGATATAGAAATCCATACTTTTCCATGGCTCCTGATGCATTTCAGGGAAGAAAACTGCAGAAAATCATATGTGCCAGGGTGCATGACTAAAAATAGATATACTGTATTGTGCACAAACATGCCAAGGAGGGGAATGCACGCTGCACGAATCCATAGGTTTCTGGCTTGCTCAGCGGTTTAGCTCCCTGGCTGCAGAGCCAAAGGTTTGGAGTTTGATTCTCCACTGAGCCTCTGGTGAGTAGAGCCAGCCTATGTGGCCTTGGGTAAGCTGCACAGTCCTAGGTTGCCCTCAAAAGAAGGGAATGGCAAACCACTTCTGAGTTACTGTCTACTTTCAGGGAAAGCCCTGAAAAAGGTTGCTGTGTGTCAGAATTGACTTGACAGGCCCACAATAATGATTCCAGCTTGTGAGGTTTCTGGAAGTCTTAGGGTTGCCTTGTTTGTACGATGACTTCTCGGTGGAGAGACTGGGCGTTTTCTCAGCCTTTCACCTGATATGAAGGAAAAAAGGAAAGCTAGTTAGCACTTTCCTAGGAGAAACAATATTTTTCGCACCATAAGACGCACTTTTCCCCCACAAAACAGGGGGGGTGGAAAGTCTGTGCGTCTTATGGAGCGAAGAAAACAGATTATATTTTCCTGTTTTCTTCTCCTAAAAAATTGGTGCGTCTTATGGAAAGGTGCATCTTATGGAGCGAAAAATACGGTACATTTTTCTTGACCTCCTCTTTCTACGCTGCCCTTAGCCTCCTTTCTCTGGCATGTCTCTTCTATCTAACAGTCTCTTGTTATTTTCTTTTTTTTCCCTTCAAGGTCTCCCTCCTGATTCCCTGACCAATCTAATGGTTACACCAGCATAAATACGGCCGTGGGACTTATCAAGCCACTAAAAAAACAAACAAACAAAAAAAACCTGGAGAATATCAGCTGCAGACAAAATGTATTCAGAAGGAGGAAATATTTTTGGCTGCCCTGAAACCCCCTTCGTGATTCTTTGACATACATACAAAGGTTTTGTGTGTGTGTTTTTCTGTAGAACTGAAGATCATCTGTTCTTCCACCATTACTGGGATTTGTTTTTGTGGTCAGGTGTCTTTCATGGAATCAAAAATACGACTGAACACAAAACTCCTTCCACTTTTCCTCATCTGATTCAAGTGTATTTCTAGGTATGTATTAGTATGCGTGAAGTTTTGTGATTTTTTTTTGGGGGGGGGAGACTGCATCTTTCCCACAAAGTTAAGTTTTGGGAACAGTGCACACAGGATGCACCCATCACAGTAAAATACGCTTGCTTCCCCCATCCATTCTCCTGTTCAATACACACTCTTGTTAGCGTTGATGAGTTAAGAACAGGGACTTTGGTGTATGAAGCTATTGCTGAGCAACAAGGTTGAAGTGTCAGGTACTTTTGGATTGGTAGGGAAGATGAAATCCCTTCTCTGTTTCATCTAAGCTTAGCTTGAATCCTTATAGTCGTTTGCATATTGTGTACAATTAAAGCAAATCCCTATTCAATTGTTACTAACCCAGTTCTGTATGTTACGCTTAGAAAGGGGTACCCAACCCTTCCTCCCTGTCAATGCCTTGTTGGGGCACGCCTTGACATGAACATCTGAGGAGGGAGGATGGGTTTCCCACTAGAAGAGTTACATGGATCCTGGGAAATCTGGGAGTTTAGTCAAAAAATACAGATATACACATCCCTATTGCTGCATAGAATTCCCAGTGTGGTGTAGAGGGTAGAGCGATGGACTAAGACGCTGAAGAAAAGTGTTCGAATCTCCACTTGGCCATGGAACCTTCCTGAGAGAGTGGAACCGGTAAAACCACTTCTTCAATGTCTCACTTACCATGAAGCCTCTATTAGGGTTGCTAAGTCAACTCCGACATGACAGCACAGAACACACTCATTCCTGCATAAGGCAAAGCCAAAGTTCTGCAAAGGTGCAAATCTTAGTTGCAGAGACCAGAAGGAACCATCAGGTTCTTACTCTCTTGGAGAGCCTACATGTGAGGGAGAACTGCTCCCTGCTCACATGTTGCAGTGTTCCCTCCATCAAATATCCTTTACATCTTTCCTTGCTTCCCTTAAATTTGTGTGTGTGTTATTTTCTTCCCTGATGTCTTTCTGGACATTTTTTCTGCTATTTGGTCCTTTCCTTTCTTGAATTTTATTTTTTATTTTTTTTCTTCCTGCCTTCTGTTGTGCTGGAGTCAACTTGGATTTTATTTTTTATTTTTTATTTTTTGTCTTCCTGCCTTCTGTTGTGCTGAAGTCATAGAAGAGAAGGAGGACATTGAATAGTAGAGGGGAGAGAAATCTCCCTATAATTATTCTGGTTTGAAAGGGGACTTTGCTTGTGTTTTTGGCCTTATTTGCTTGTTTGTTTGCTTTTTGGAAAAGAGGCCTGTACGTGTGCATTTCCTTTTGCTATTTTTCATGTGTGTGGGGGTGTATCCGTGCGCTTACCCTGTTTTATTGATTTTTTTAAAAAAAGTTGCTTGGTTAATTTACAGTGTATATTTGTTCTGTTAAAGGTGCATATTTTTGTGGTGGGGGGGGTTTGATGACTGTTCCGTTTGGTGGTAGTAGTTGTTGGTTGTACTATTGCCTTACCTTAGCGTTTTTGGGGTAGTTTTTACAGATTCTTGAGGGATTTTGGAAAAAATTCAGATAGAATACAGATGGGAAAACATGCCACAAATGAAGCTGGAAAAGGCACAGCACAACATTTATATTGTGTATTTTCCACGAGCGCCCTTAAAAGAATCATTGTTTGTTTTTTTTAATTGTGAAGGGCTGAACTTTTCAGAATAGCAGAGCTTAAAAACTTCTGTCTTACTGTTAGTGTGTTCAGTTTTTTCTTTGGCGCTGGGCTATGTGAGGTTTCTGTACCATGGCTTGACTGCACCTCCCTTTGAAAGATAAGAGGGCAAATCACTGTTCTGAATGTCCATTGTTCTCAACAGGTGGCATAATTGATTTTTAGGATCATGGCAATGATAAAGGAAGCTGGGCGATGCTTCATGCTTTTGGATGGATGAGTGAGAACGAAGGAATGTTGGCATCTGGCATCACTTGTTGCAGTGATGTTTTTATTGTGTGAAAGTGGAATTCTCTTATACCCAGCACAGCCAACCACGAACTTGACAGGATTCTTCAAGAACGGTGGGAGGTATCTGTTCTTGAAAGTCCACAGACTTCTCTGTCTTTGAAATAATTGCTAATATGGTCTTTAACAGATCAAGAAATGAAATGAGTTCCTGCCTTTTGTCATTATTGCAAGAAAGTTCATTTTACATTGAAACGGATAGCTGAAATTTTCTCATTCTTGGTCACACACTGACTCTGTATTATTATTTGTATTTGTGTATAAAATGTATGCCTTTGTTTTTCTTGCAAGTTTATTTTATTCTTTGCCCTTTAAAGTTTTTGACTGTGAAAGAGATGCTTTTGGTGTACATTTCTCCAGTTGTCTGGTGCTGCAGTCTGTGACTCTTTATGACATGGCTGGTAAGGAAATTCCAGTTGGGTTAGGATGCTACTGTACATCCGTTGGAATTTATTTTTTTGATCGATGTAACTTTATCTCTTCCTGAGTTTTGGAATTTTCACTCTCTTTGTCCTTGCCTGAAATGCCGCTTCTGGAATTTGCCCGTTCTATGAGGAAGCTGTTGAATTTTTAGCTGTTGATGTAACTCTTGCCTTTGCTGACTCATTGTGAGCTGTTCGCTTGAGTGTTTTGAAGGGCAGGAGAGAGGCTTTAACTTCCTTCTGTTCTACTTACTTCTCCTGTAGTACGACTCAAAGATAATTATTTTCTCACTGCTAGCCCTTCTCATCAGCTGACGATGTTCGGTAGATATCCAGTAGTAAGTTGCTACTAGAGTTGGCCCATTGAATCAGTGGAATGTACAGAGAAGTTGACTCATGAAATCCTCACTGATTAAAGCTGCCTTTTTAAAATGGTCATACCCAGTATACCTAAGACAGCGAGGTCCTTGGTGAAATCCTCCCTTTTAGAATGATCTAACATTTCTGGAAACTTGAGCATGTAAAAAAAAAATAAAAAACCTTTCTCCCTTTTGTGTGTGTGTGTGTGTGTGTGTACACACTATTTTTCCATGTGTAAGACTATACAGTGGTGCCTCGCATAACGTTTTTAATTGGTTAAAAAAAACGTTATGCGAAACATCGTTATGCGAAACACCATTTCCCATAGAGATGCATTGGAAACCGGTTAATCCGTTCCAATAGGCACGGATTGCCGTCCTTAAGCGAAAAAACCCATAGGAAACATCGTTATACGATACAATGTATCCTCCATTGGAATGTATTGTAGCTGACTCAATACGTTTCAATGGCTTTGCGAAGTCAATTTTTGCAAAATTAAGTGTGTCATAAAAGGGTCAAAAATGGTTTTAAATGCTTGGATTAGCTTCTGCACCCTCTAAAACGGATGCAAAAGTTAATTTGGCTTTGATCTGACTTTTCGTTAATTAATGGTGAATTTTTCCCCCCAACTTTTGACAGCTGTCAAAATCTGACAGCTCCATTATTTCCTATGGGGGAAGAAAAAATTCACAAAAAATTAATGAAGACTCAGCAACTGTTCTAAATTCTTGGGTTCGTTAGAGGACCCCCTAAGTTGTGTGCAAACCTGATTTGGCTTGCCCCATGGGGCTTAGCACGAAGGGAGGAAGCAGGGATCAAAGCAATCCTGCAGCGCTTTGATCCCTTTCCCCTTACACTTGCTAAGCCCCACTTAGATTTCTTAATTTTGGGTTAGAAAAGTGTGTGTGGGGTGTCTTATACATGGGAGTGTCTTATACATGGAAAAATACGTTATGTATGTGTCGTGTCCCATCAAGTCACTTCTACTTATGAGGACCCTGTGAATGAGTGCTCTTCAAAATGTACTTACTCCTCAACCACACTGTTCCGTTCTTGTGAAGTCAAGATTTCCTTTAATCAGCCAACCTATCTCATTTTCTTTTTCCCCTGCTGCCTTCTTTCCCAGCATGTTTATCTTTTCCAGAGAATCTTGTTTTCTCATTGTGGCGTCCACCCTGGTCATGAATATCAGTGGGATATCTGCATAGACCAATGGGAGTGCTGGAGGGGCGGAGTCATGGGATACGAGCGACTCAGCAGGAGGAGGCGGAGTTTAGATAGAGAGTTTGAGATTGGTTGAAGAAGTTTAGGAGTTTGGTGTGGTTTTGGAATTTGGGCGGGAGAGTGGTGGTGGAGAGTGAAATGAAGGAGGAGGTTTGTTAAGATTTAATAACATTGCTTGAACTATCATCATCTGTAACAATAAACAATTTCTATTTGTTTCTTTTAAAAATGACATATGGCCTGGAGCTCGATTATTAATACTAGGAAATGTTGATGTATAGGAATGTGGTGGCGCTGCAGGTTAAATTGCAGAAGCTTCTGTGCTGGAAGGTCAGAAGACCTGCAGTCATAAGATCAAATCCAACCGATGGAGTGGGCTCCTGTCGGTAGTCCCAGCTCCTGCTAACCTAGCAGTTCGAAAGCATTAAAAATGCGAGTAGATAAATAGGTACCACTTTGGTGGGAAGGTAACAGTGTTCCGTGTCTAGTCGCGCTGGCCACCTGATCACAGAAACTGTCTACAGCTTGGAGATGGGGATGAGCACTGGACTAAATGTTAAGGGGAAACTTTACCTTTACCTAATGTTGATGTAATCAACTGGTGGCAGCTGAAAGACACGTAGCGTGAGCTCTTAGTTTGGTGGAACAGTCAGGGGCCACGTGGAATCATGACAGCCTCATTTTTAACCTTTTTTTTTTTGCCTCCAGAGATAGTTCAGCAATACTATGAGCAAGAAGGATCTTGGAGTCGTTGTAGATCACAAGCTAAATATGAGCCAACGGTGTGATGTGGCTACAGAAAAGACAAATGCGATTTTAGGCTGTGTGGCTGGTTTCTGCTAGGTTGCAGGCATATAGATTCCAAATCCCATGAGAGATATTAGTTGCCCTCTATTCAGCACTGGTTAGGTCAAATAGTGCTCTGCAGTTCCAGCATGTTTCATTTGCTTAGGTGAAGATTGCCTTGTATTGACGGGAGGACGACGGCTGGGATGGAGTTAAAACGGGCAAGTCCTTTTGGGAAGAGGTCAGCTGCACTTTCCTGGG